TGGTAGACTTGCCCGACATAAAACCAAATTGATTATGAGAAATCTTTGTAATACGTCTTAACCTATGTTCAATTACTCTTTATTCTTAAAAATGGGGACTAAAATACTCTTCCTCCACCCCTCGGGCATCGTTTTAGTTTTTAAAATAATATTAAAGAGTTTAGTGAGCCAAGAAACTCGCAAATCTCCTAAATATTTTCATACTACAATTTGGATATCATCAGTTTCTACAAACTTTCTCTTCTCAACTTCTTTTTTACTAATGCGACGGTAAAAATGAAACGTTTTATTATTATTAATGATATTAAGATCATTAAGGTCGATCGTATTTTCAAAAACTTTATTAAAAAATTTATCAAAATAATTCACCCACCTATGTTGAATATATTTTTCTAAGAAAAATATTTTTTGATTTTCATCTTTAATGCACTATACTTGAGTTAAATCTTTACTTTTCTTTTTTCTTTGTTTGACTAGTTTATACATATATTTTTCACCCTCCTTAGTATCTAATCTATTATAGAGATTATTAAAAGTAGAATTTTTAGCCTCACATATTGTTCTTCTAGACTCTCTGTGGGCTATTTGATAATTTTCCCAGTTCTCTAAGCTTTTACATATAAACCAATTTTTATAACATAATTTCTTATATTTTATTTTTTCTTGCACAATAGTATTCCAAAATCAGCTATTTGTATTTAATTTTATTTAAAAAAACTTTTTCTTTTGATTTTTCAAGTACATCTTTTGCTACTTGTTTAACAGTGTTTGTTATTTTATCCCTCATGACATTTGCTTCATCATGAACATCCTAAAATTTGAAATCTTGAATTTTTCTTATAAAAATAATTTTATTAGTGTCTTTTAGGTTCTCCCATCTAATTCTACGATGATGAGTCTTAGTATTTTTTATTTTACAACTCTTCATCTTAAAATCTAGAATTAATAAACGATGTTGGTTGCTTAAATCCACGAATGAAGTTACAATTTTTACAATCTCAACTATCTCTTCTTCTCATAAGAAAATAATCAATTTGTGATTTATTAGATCTATTCTTATAAGTAATAAGTTGCTCATCTCTTTTCTTGAATAGAGTATTAGTAATAACAAAATCGTACGCTAATGCAAAATCTAAAATAGCTCTACTTTCTTCATTAGTCACTCCAAAATCGTAGCCACCATGAATATTTCTAAAATCTTCTATCACTCTACCAACTTGTCCATTTAAATCTCTTTCAATAAAATTTCTTTCTTCAAGAAGTATCATTTGTATTAAGTCTTCTAAGTCATTCCAGAATTTATCTTTAGACCATATATCTAAACCTAGTTGAGGAGCATAAACACTTATAATATTAAAAATCTTAGTATCAACGATAATCTTAAGAGTTATAATTCTATCTCCAACTCTATTAATTTTTACAATATTATCTTTCAAACTTTTATTTATAATTACACCTACACCATTTCTAGTGCTACTTTTACGTGAATACCTAAGTTTAAAACCTAAGTTATCAATCTTCTTAGTTTTTTCTCCAAACCATTTAGTTTCTTAAATACATAAGCTATTAATCTTTCTATGAATCATAATATCAACTAATTTTATTAATTTACCATTGAAAGTACTTATATTCCAAGATCTTATCCTAATATTAATTTTAGTAGTTTTATGGACTAATTTTTTTACCCGCATCCATCCGTAATGTGTGAACCCTTACTTATTTGACACTACATCTGGGCGTCGGTGTAGCGGCCTGTACACACTTTTCACTGTATTCAGGCTATACAACATGTCGCTTCCAGAGGACGCCCTAGCACTTACACAAAGATCAAAATGATTCATGTCATTTTGATCAGTTCGACATGTTTTGCGCTGGCTCTCGACTAACAAACACAACCCTTCACTTTTTACATCCGGGCTTGAGACCGGTAATGACATTGTTTTCAAATTTACATTTATATCACCAAAATCTTTCATATCATGTCAAAAACATCTATCATTTAACTTTTAAAAAGTGAAATACATATTTCCATGCATATGTAAGGTGGGCATATATGTAAAAAATGCCACTTTTTTAACTTCTAAATATAAAATCTAGGTGTTATGAGAGATTTGGTAGTATGAATATTGAATGTAAATTTTTGGTGTTAGATATTTAAATACATATGAATTGGGAGGTATGTATGTAAATGCCCCTAATCTTTCTGTTCTAATAACATGAATTTGCCTTTTCCTCAGTCCTGTTTTATAAATTCTAGCCTCATTTTCTCATGACTTTTTTGCTTCTGTTTACAGTATGTGATCCAAAGAGTCTTCTCTACGTATACGGCATGCAATTAGATTTCAGTGATGCGTTAATCGGAGGCGGATTCTCATTCAAAAATCCCAACGCCACAAAAACTTGCGGCTGTGGGAAATCTTTTGCTGCTGGTGCTGCTGCTGCTGAAAACACACAACTGACAGAAACTCTTAACCATTGTGGTTTGTAAAGAAACATTGTGGTGAAAGATTAAGGGTTTAGTTATGGTTTATATCCAGCTATTGCATTGCATGCATGTGGGAGATTGATTGATGTAACAAAAGTGTGGAATCCGTTTGGAAGCTTGTTTTAATGAATGCTTATAGTAAATATTCTGTTTGGCTAGCAATTTTTTTCGTTTGGTGGCTACTAAGAACTGCCATCTCTGCTGCATTTCCCCAACCGACTCCCAATGGGCAATGTTGATTGGTTTGGAGTGACAAATGATAGATAAAAGATCTGGTTGGGGTGGTTTGTAATTTTTTAAAATGGTGGTTTTAAAATTGTGGTAGAAACAATAATTTTTTATAAAGTTGTGAAAATTATATATATATATATATATAAAGGAATGACTGGAGGTTATGATACAAGCCAAGACCACCCCTCATATGTCTGATAATTCGAGTATCATATCCTACATTCGGGGGGAATCAAATCTCAGACTAGAGAGAATTACAATTGACAAGCAGATGCCCGATCAATTGATCTGAGTGCGAGACGCACACGTGTGTGTGTCTATATATATATATATATATATATATTTGGTTTATATTTGTTTATATATATATATATAATTATTTAAATACTTTAAAGTTATGGGTGGACCTATGCTAAGGGGTGCAATTGTCCCCTTTGAATTTCTTATGTAAATCTCCTAAATTTTGTATTTTTTATCTTAATTTTTCTATTTCTAAATTATAGTTGTATTAAATAAAAGAATTATATTTTTTGAGAAATTTACGTAATAATTTGTAAGTTAATAATATAAAACAAAATTAATTTTAAATTAATCTTCTATCTTATTTTATTTAAACTAAATTTAATTTTTTTATTTATTTACTTTCTTTGCTCATAAATTCTCTTTTTCATATATAAATAAGATAGTATATATATTCATAAATATGAAAAAAAAAAAAGAGATCAGGACACAATTCCAAATTTAATAATAAAAAAAACATAATTAATAAAATTTCAACTAAAACCTATGCCATTGTGGGCCATTTTATGAAAATATGAGTAACTTTTTGGACTCTTTAGCAAAAATCTGCGTCCGATCTTTCTCTTTCATGCTCAAAGTCCCTTTTCTTAATACAAAATTATGTCTTCACACATAAAAATTATTGTCTAGAGTCGTAGATTCGGAATCCAATAAAATCATGTCACACAGAGGTGATCGAAAAATTAAAAAAAATCATTTTAGCATAAGGGAATATTCCCCAGTGTTATTTCGTATTATTCATGTGTTATTGTGATGATATTGATGTGTTATTGTGTTATTATAACACCGGAAGTATTCCCAAAAAACAATAATACATGAATATCACCACAATAACACATGAATAATACGGAATAACACGGGGGAATATTCCTTTGTGCTAAAATGATTTTTTTTTAATTTTTATGCACCTCCACAGAACGTACCTCTACGTCCACCTCTATATCTTGAGTCCGGACGTCCACATGATTAAATTTAAATTTATTTTTTTCATAATAATCACTTTATTATTCTTTGGATGGCGTACATTAAATTAAATTTAAATTTTAAAAGTTTTAAATAAATGCTAAATAGAATTTTAAATAAAAAAAAATGAAATTGAAATTTAAATTATGCCTTAAAACTTAAATTCTTATTACATCTTTATATTTATCTTTTATTTTAAAATCTATAACTTAGTTGCTTATGATTTGTACATATTAAAAGGTGTCATTATTTTGAAGTGGCAATTACAAATAGATCAGGTGAAACTTGCTTTTTATAAATTTGTCCATCTCTTTCATCCATTTTTCAAATTTTCTCTCGAATATTAAAATTCGTGATAAAATTTCAACCCGTATTTTTCATTTTCATCAAATTCTCAGTAGTTTAAATATGGAGCGAATAAATACATCGGCTCAATAGTTCAAAAAAATCATCCGAGTGAATAATTTATAAATATGAATATTTCGAATGGTCTGTATGTAATTATCCCTATTTTGAAAGGTCTCTTTTTTAATCTTGTTATTTAAGACCAACCTATTAAACTTAAAAATGAGGTTTAATTGCCTTGATTACTAAGCAATTAAGTGTTTTAACCAATACAAATGAGTAGCTTGTGTTTCAA